TAAACATTACCAAGTCCAAATCACTGAGGCTAACCTATATGTGCGCAAAATGTCAGTAACAGATTTTGTACTATCATCGATAGAAAAAACTCTGTTGAAAACACCTGCAATATACAATTATATTGAAGTTTTACCAAGAACCTTTTTGGCCACAACTGGTGTGCAAAGTTGGCGACAAGAAGACGTTTTTGCCAAAGAGCCAGTCCGTCGAATGATTTTGGCAATGAGCTCGAATACAGCATACTTGGGTACTAACCGAACAAACCCGTTTCATTATCAAAAGTTTCAGCTGAATGAAATCATTGTTTACCGAAACGGCCTACCCATTGCAGGAACTCCTGTGTCAACGACTGATAACAAAAGAATATACTATAACACATTGGAAGCTCTAGACTTTGTTTTTAACAATAGTCATGGAATCAGTTTGGCTAATTATCACAATCATTATATTATGGCATTTGATCTCACATCTACTCAGGAGGCTTCACATGACTTTATTCATCCTGAATTGACCAATTGCACCATTTCAGTAGAACTGAAGTTTGATGCACCGCTGGGGGAAAATGTAGAGTTACTTTTCATGGGAGAGCGTGCATCAACAGTTTACGTGCGTTCCGATAGAAAAATAGCTAAAAACACTCTAATGAATTGAATCGAGGGAAAAAATGGACAATTTGCAGATTATTGAGCTTATTAACAGATGCAAACATTTGAAACATCGATTTCGTGGCATTTTTCCCGCTAACTTAGCATTTAATACAATATTGAAACGTGACAATACTTTCATGATAGTCAACGCATCAAACTCAGACCAGCCAGGAACTCATTGGTTACTGTTTGCTCAAGCTGGTGGTCAAATCTTTTTTGCAGATCCTCTTGGACGAAGCCTACACAACTATCCACATGTATACAAAAATATGAGACGTTCTATCCATGAGGGAAACCAAATACTGATGAATAAGCCAATCCAATCAGCTAACTCGGTCTTGTGTGGACTTTATTGTATTTATGTTGCTCATGTTATAATTTCTTCTAGGTTTCCTATAGGTTTCAAGGTTAACGATCATGACATGATGCGTTTTGCTAAACATATGATGTTATAATTTTGTGATACTGTTGCATTTCTTTAATGATTTATAATTGATTTTTTTAAAAAAAAAACATGTTTTATGGTTGCTAGAACACATACCGCTGGAATTATCTCAGAAATGTTTTTTTTTCAAAAATTGTATTTCTTCTCCATTATAAATTTAACAAACAAAGTATTCGAATCAATCTCTAATCGACCATACCCACTCAAAATAATATCAATGATTTTTGAAAATTCGGCAGCATTATCCCCATTCAAAATTCGAATAAAACGTTCAATGGTTACATTAGTAATTAGATCAGTTTGAGTTTGAATGGATCGAGTCTGTGATGCAAAGCAAATCTGTGGCAATCGTTTTCGCAAAGAAACTCCAGCGGTGTCAAGGTTGTTAGTCGAATTGTAGTTAACAGCCAATTTCATTTTTTCCATCAGTGGTCCTGATAGATGATATTTGATGCACCGCATAATCAAATATTTAAAGGATGAAAGGAGGCAAGGCACAATAAAAGATTTTAAGGTCATCTTGTTAACTGCTTCAGTGCATTCTTTTGTAACTTCGATAAGAACGTGGTAATGTGGCTGACCATTGGCAGGAGATTGGGAACAAAAATCGTTCTGATTTGAATGGACTGCAAATGCAAAGTTCGTATTAGAAGGAAGGTCAGAAACGTCGGGTTCATTGTTCAGAAAAAAAAATTTAAAGTTTTTCCGAAATTGTTTAAAGTATTCCGGCGATTGTTCATACATTGCTTCAGCCATTCTGATAATTAATAAATGAAACTGGGTTTTTTTTTCCAATTACTCAAGCCACTCTACTTTTTTTGTTGGAATAATCTTCTTCATCATCCTCTCCGTTTTCACTATTACAGTCTTTTTCGGAGTAAACCGATCGTTTTGATTTATATCGTCGTTTTTGAGGTTTATCGTTTCCTGTTGTGGAAGTTGAAATCTTTTCACCAGTTGGTGCTTTGATCATTTTTTTTACTTTTGAATAATTATCTGCTAAGCTATCAAATTCTTTCGTCGTCAAAGTAACTGCTTGATACATTTTGAACACTTCTTCGTCAGTTTTCTTAAACAATTTTAGTGTAATATAGGTACCTGTTTTTTCAAATGTTTTTGTTCCAACTCTGACTATACGTTTTTCTCCTGAAGAAATATCACGAAAGTCATCAAAAAAGTTAGTATCACTTTCAAGCGTGTACATAGTTGGGTAGCGGTAATTTTATTCAACCGTATCAGTCAAGAGACAATTTAAGAATGATTTACCCAGCCGGTGAATAGCTTAACTCGGGCGATTTCTTTTACGGTATTCCTTAAGCTTCATTGGGGACTTTTAATTAGTTTGCAGTTGGAAATTTATGAGTTTAAGTTATACATGTCAAATCTGTCTGGCAAATTCCCGTTTTAGCTCATAAATCTCAACGGTTTTACCCTGGCGGCATGCCTGTTATCTCTTTGAAGTGTAAAACTTCTGTCATTTGTGCTTAGGGTATCATAAAAAGGCGCCATGCTGTTTCTTTGAAGTATAGATTTTCAAAGCGTTCACATTTCTATTTTAATTGCAAAAGCCCTGAAAACATATTAAAATTTTACAAAACCCGATCTATGGTAATTGGCTAAAACTAGACCACCAGCAATAAAAAACTAAAAGTGGTACGTCAAACTAAATCTACTCACTATTTTCATTCAATCTCTCAAAATCAAACAAAACAAAATTTTCAACGATGGCAACTCCACTGCAAATTATTTCAATTAATTCACTTGAAAGAGCTATATTGTACCAAACTTATACCAGAGATTCTATCGTAGTGGTTCAACAGGAACGGAAAATGCGTCATCGAAACGCAAGTCCTTTGAACGATCTTGATCCAGGAAGCAGAGAATTCGATGAATGGGTCACTAAAAACCATATGATGTTACCCCATTATTTGCTAGATCAAATTGGTATCCTCATACAAAGCAGAAAACAGGTCTACGAGAGTTGTTGTGTGACTGAATCGTATCCTGGGCTGAAGCGCACAGATATTCAAGACCCTACTTGCCTTGATCGTTCACCGAGAAAAATACTGTTCAACTACGATTGCCAATCGATCCCCTTTTACGAAAATCAGGAAGGATCCATTAGAGATTTAGCAGAGCGAGAAAACTACTGGAACATTGAGTCGATTGAATCACCAGATTCAACAGAGAAAAAAGATGAGGACCAGCAGACGCCCAAAACCCCAATAAAACCGGATATCTTTTCAATCACTCAACATCAGCAGCAGCAAACTTCTTCTGCTTCTTCTTTTTCCGGCAGTCAAAGTCCCACTGCACCAAAGTTAGTAGCTGAGACACCGCCTATCAATGCTTGCTATGCGCCGAAAAAACGCAAACTGCAATTTAGAGATCTCTGAAAACTCAAAAAAAAAATTTGTTTCCACCGAGAGTGCACCAGTTTGGGGTTTATTATTTAGTTTGATAAGTTTTTTTTATTATTGTGGCTGAATCTTTGCTTACGTTTTGTTTATGATTTTTCTAATTTAATGCTTCCTCTCTAACTTTTTTTTTCAGAAATCTTTGAAAGAATAAAACTAAACAAAAAGAAACATATTTTAAATTTTTTTTGTTTTTGAAAAAAAATTAAGAGTTTCAAAATTTTGTTTGAAACAAACAGTGGTATCAAAAATTATCCTCTGGTTTCGACCAGTAGTAGGTGATCAACTTAGCTAATGAAAGTTTGCCTGTATATGCAGCACCTAACAAGTTATTTCTGTTCAAAACCGAAACCAGAAAAAGTAAACAAAATTTTGTTTTTGTTTTTTGTCCAAAAAATTCCAAAAATTGATTTCGTGAACTGCAACTTTATCTCTTACTGTTGCTATAAGGGTATTACGGCTGATGAAACCCCCAGTTCCTTAATACAACGCTTTTTGAAATGTTATTTTTGAGAAAATCAAAATTCATTAAAATTCATCGTTGGCTAAGTGTCGTTCACTATGAAGCCGTGCTCAGAAATGGATGAAACCAATTTTTTTAGACTCAGCGGGGTCGAAAACAAGGCGTAGCCGCCGTTTTCGAGTCTAGGCGGCCACGTTTCAAAAGATATTTGGTGGTTTTTGAAAGGACTGCATATCCACTGAGCCAATGCTCCTCTCAACCCTGCAGTGGAAACCATCTAAAAGTAAAAGCTGAAACACTGCAAAGGACCCAACAGATACCTGAATCAGTGAACATATACGCCGAATGAAGTTAATAAAAACAAGAAAAAATCAAAAAACAATAAATTGACCTGTTTGGTTTTTTCGATTTTCAGAAGTTTGACATGAAAAATTCCCATTATTTAATTTTTAAAAAATTAATGATATGAAGCTTTATCACTTCTTTGACAGCTCAATTGATGATTAACTACATTCGGTGTAATGCATTCATTTCACTCTGCTGGGCTTAGGTCTACTCGGGTGAGGTCTTTTTGAATTGAGTGCCGATGAATTGTTTGAAGCTACACAACTTGTCTAGGAACTTTGTGGTTAATTCAGAAAATTTGGTTGATTTATGAGACTATTTTATAGGTTTACTTAATGAGCCGAAGTTAATTTCTTTGATGTATCTGAGAGCATTTTGGGAGCACCCTCTCGATTTTATTAATCTAAGCTCCACCTTAGGAAACCACTCCTTGTTTGGCAATTAAGCAAATGATAGAAAAAGTTTGAAAATCTAAACAGATTTAATAGCAGTCGTAAAACAAACGGAAAATCACTCGAACTCTTTTGACTTGTAAACCAGTATCTACTTTATTTGAACCTAGCTTTCGGAAATATCAAAATTCTCAAAAAAAAACAACCACCTCGCAATGTCTACAAAAGTCGTACCCTGTAATCTCTGCCAAAAAAAACTGAGTGACCGGCGAAGCCTCAAAAAACATCTAATGGCTGTTCACAAGATTGATCCTGTGAAAACCGACTACATCTGTGGTCACTGTGAACTAGAGGATAAGTCACTTCGCATCATTTGGGAACATGTCGTGGAGCGTCACAAAACAATCGATGAAACGGAAGAAAGAAGAATTTGTCTCTACGACATGAATGTGTTCCAAAATGATCGCGCATATGCTGCGCATATGCTAAACGAACACGGTCTGCCAGCATGGGATGTGAGCCGAGAAATCCTCACTTCTATACAGCCTGAGACAGCTTTTGATGGAGCAGTCAGGACATACGATATAGTGCCGATGGAAACGGAAGTGGACCTACTAGCGCTATTCGTGACCAAGAGAGACGAAATCGAAGAGCTGATACTTCAAAATACCATGTATGAGCCTCAGAAAGCTCAATTGTCAGCAGAAGTAACTCTTCAAAAAGAGAAGGCAGATGGCACAGAAGAAGTAATAACCATCTTCGCCAATTGCAAAATGCTTGCTGTAGACGTTCAAGGATGGACCCAGGACCAATTCTATGATTGCGTAGACCAAATATTGTCTACTGTCCATCAATATGCGTCTCATGGTAGTGGCTGGAGAATCCGCAGGATTGATAAGATTGTCCTAAAAATGGTGAAGTCTGCACCGATCAGGGGTTCATCGTACTTGCCACTACCAGCCGATCTACTGAAACTCAAACGCTTCTTGTTGAATATTCGCAATTATGAAGACGATCGATGCTTTGAGTACTGCTTCGTTGCTGAGTATCATCGGCAGAACAATATCCCGCTCACTCTTCGTACGATGCAGAGTAAAGAGGAGGAGAAAGCGAGCTTCTATGATTATCGCAGAAACTCAAGAGCGCACGAGCCAACTGGTGATTTTGTGTACCCAATGGGACTACCGGCTATTGCACGCTTCGAAATTTTGAATGAAGTGCAAGTGAATGTCTTCAGGTTAGTTGAAGTTTTAATCAATTTTTTTTTTTTTGGTGTGAAGCTGTATCTAAGCACATCAGAACAAATGGTTGGCTGCACATTCGTTGAAGAATTATTATTATGATGACATTAAAAATTAGTATAAAAATATCATTCAAAATTTTTCTCTAGGTACAATGAAAAGACTCTTCTACCCCTGAGAGTGTCAAAATATCAGACTAATTTTGTTGTGGATTTGCTGCTTCTAAACGATATGGGCACGCATCACTACGTCGTGATAAAAGACCTGAACAAGCTAGTGAGCAAAATGCAAAAAAGAAAACTGAGATCGAGAAACATGCTGTGCCGAAATTGCTTCCACCGGTGTTCATCTCAGGAACGACTTGAGCGTCACCAGTTAATCTGCATGGGGAACGAACCAGCAATCGTTACCATGCCAAATGCTGACAAGAGCAGCGTAGGCTTCAAAAACATCGGTGCTCGAAGCTATAGCCCATTCGCGGTTTACTTTGATTTGGAGTCTGTGCTGGAGAAGGTGGAGACGGTGAGAAATAATCCTAACTGCTCGAGCACAACCGTGATTGAAAAACATAAGCCCAGCAGTTTTTGCCTTGTCGTTGTGGAAGCTGGAAACCCGAAACCTGCGTTTTTTTCACTTCATCGAGGAGTGGACGCCATGACTAAATTCGTTCGAATGCTGGAAGTATTGGCGCGTGACTTTCATAATAAAAAACGACGATACCCGAACTACCTCGGAAGCACCACTATTCTTGAAGACAGTGACAAATGCTGGATTTGCGAAGAGGAATTCTCCGAAACTAACGCGAAAGTTTTGGACCATAATCATTTCGATGGATCATTCCTCGGATGGGCTCACAACAAATGCAACTTCCTGAGACGTACCATACAATTCACCCCTGTCTTTGCCCACAATCTCCAGAATTACGATTTGCACCATGTACTGAAGAGTCTGCAAGATACCAATACCAGAAACACCTTTTCGGTCATTCCTCTCAATGACGAAAAATTTATTTCACTAACAATGAAAGTGTGGATTAGATCGTACACTAACGAAAAAGGAAATGTCTATAATGTCTACGAAGAAATCCGTTTTGTGGACAGTTGTAAATTTATGAACAGCTCACTCGATGAGCTAGCTCGAAATCTACCCGTGGAAAAGTTCATCTATCTCAATAACCACTTTGCTACCCGACCGGAAGAAGATAAAGCATTGATTCGACAAAAAGGTTACTTCCCCTACTCGTATGTTGACAGCCATGCAAGATACACAGAAGATGGACTACCTGCACGCGACAAGTGGACCAACACGCTGCAAGGAGGTGTTGTTAGTGTCAGTGAAAAAGAATGCCAACATGCATGGTTAGTGTACACTCGTTTCGGTTGTCAGACTTTGGGCGAATACAGCGATTTGTATCTAACGACTGATACCTTGATTCTTGCATGCGTTTTTGAAGAGTTTAGACGAGTGTGTTATGAAACATATAAGCTAGATTGTGCTCAATATTTCACGGTTAGCAATCTCTCAGGGGATGCATTTTTGCGAACATGTAAGGCTGACCTCCATTTGCTCACTAATAGGGAGCACTTGGATATGGCAGAAAACCTGATCAGGGGGGGCATTGCAAGTGTGTTTGAAAAAAGACTTGTTTCCGCCAACAATAAATTTGTGAAAAATTACGACCCTAAACAGCCTAACACTTTCCTCTTCATGATAGACGCGAACAATTTATACGGCGGGATTATGGAAAAATTTCCTCTTCCACTTAACTCATTCGAGTTTAATGACCAAGTTACTATAGCCGTAATTCTCAACACGAGCAGAGAATCCGAAATTGGATACATTTTGGACGTCGATCTTTTATACCCCGATCATTTGCATGATGCACATTCGGATTACCCACTCGCCCCAACAAAAGAAGTTGTGTCCAAAATGTGGCTCAGTGAGCTTCAATTGGACATGTTGAAAAAAATGAACATTTCGGATAAAGTGGGCACTACGCCAAAGCTCATACAAAACTTCTTTCCAAAGAAAAACTATACTGTACACTACCTAACACTTCAGCTCTATGTCAAACTTGGTTTGAAAATTGAAAAAGTTAATCGAGTACTGCAGTTTAGACAAGAAAAATTTATTGCACCATATGTTCAGTTGAACACTGAGCTCCGAAAAAAAGCTACTACCAAGTTTGAACAAGATTTCTTCAAGCAAATAATAAATAGTGCGTTTGGAAAATTCTGCGAATCAAAAAGGAATCGACTTATTGTAGATATTGTTCGCAATGCTGAAGAACTGCAAAATTTATCAAGGAAAAAAAGATTTAGCAGTATAAAAATTATTGACCAACACTTGGTATCTGTAACCTCAAAACCTGTGAACATTAACTGGGATAAGCCCACAATTGTTGGTGCAACGATACTAGATTTGGCAAAATTTTACATGTTCCAGTTCCATTACAACATAATCAAGAAAAATTTTGACGCAACTCTTTTATATTCGGACACTGATTCGTTCCTGTATGAAATCCGCAGCAAAGATCTCTACAAGGAAATTGAGAAAAACCATGAACTGCGAAATCATTTTGACTTTTCAAATCTACCAGTCACCCACCCCCTCTACACCAACGAGAATTTGCGCGTTACCCTGAAATTCAAGGACGAGTTTGCTGGGGAGATCATACAGGAGTACGTCGGACTAAAACCCAAACTGTACAGCATTATTTCTTCGAGTAAGTTTCTTTTTCTTTTCTTTTACCATTTTGCAATTACCCTTTTAGAAAAGGGCAACAAAAACAAATCATAAGATTATGTAGTGAGGGGGGGGATGGAGGTATTTATGTGGAAAAGAGAAAAAACTGTTAAAAATTTGAAGTAAATTGATTGTATTTTTGTTTCAGACATGGACAAAAAAAGCGCTAAAGGTATTTCTAAACTTTCAAAAATGGAGCTAACCCATAATAAGTTTAAACAAACATTGACTTACTGTTCGCTGGTCCGGTCAGAAAATGTGAGGATAAATTCTTGCAATCACAATTTACAAACCATAATAACGAATAAAATTTCCCAGAGCGCATTTGACAATAAGCGCTATATACATGCAGACAGAGTAACTACTAGTCCTTTCGGACATAAACGTTTGCGTGAGGATATGTTCATAAGAGAAATTGGGCGCACCATGGACTGGGGCGAATACGACGTAGACGACGACGCCGTGGTCCCAACTCCCACCGATAACGGAAGTGGGGAGGATTTGGCTGAAGCTATAGAAGCGCAGGGTGGGTATTATGTGGATATTTTTACTCTACCAGATATGGGGTTCAACCAACCCACATACACTGATCAAGAGCTAGAACAGGATTTGGTAGATTTCGACCAGCTAAGTGAGCAAAATGAGTCAGAACCAGCAGCGTACAACTGCCCCTATTTGGACATTGAAGCTCGGGAAGAAAACGAGCGGGAAGAAATTAGACCACCTAAACGGCGGCGGTGCTTAAATCGACGTGCTTTTATATTAGACGATTCTGACTAAATAACTTCTGATTATAAATGTAAATGATTCGCTTTATAGTACTTTTCATTCAGGAAATAAAGCTTTTCAAAATTGTTCTTTTGACCGAAAAGTGAAATAATCAACAACTCTAATTGTGAGGGGAGGGGGGTATTCAAAACAACAATATAAACTTACCAATATCACAGCATTTTATTTAATTCCACACGTGGCGATAAAGATTACAAAATAATCCACAATATAACGCGCGCAGTAAAGTTTGAACTGACAAAGTCAAAGGGAAAACATGCACCAACCAAAACTTAATTCCATTCCCATTTCCATAAAGTGGCTGGAAAATTACCAATTTTAACCCCCCTTAAAACATGCGTGCCCGAAAAAGTAGGGGCTTTAACCCCTTTGGGGGTTAAAAGTGGTAAGTACAACGGCACATCGAAAAAAAGGGGGGGGGTTAAAAGTGGTCATTTTCCTAGCCACTTTTACTATACTACTATCCTTTTCGAACCTTAACTAAAAGTCATTCAGGTTTTTCCAAGTCATTCGCATTTTCGTAGCTTAGAAAACTCAATTCATATTTCTTTATGCTTTACTTCAAAATAATTTTAACAGAGACGAAGCTGAGCTTCACACCACTTCCGATTTTTAATCGAAAAAAAAGAATATACGAAGTCAAAGCTAGTAAAATTACAAATAGCTCAAAAAACACTAAAACCAACTACGATGTAACTTGAGTACTGGAAAAAAATTATACGATGTAGCAACTAAGCCGACAAAACGTAAGCAGACAAAGATAAAGCTGACAAATTTTTCGAAACGGAATATTTCCTGTTCGAAAAAAAAACAGGTACTGTCAGATTCGAACTCAAACCTCTACCACCCAGGCGTAGTCTTTACATCCAGACCAAGTGGACCAGATATGCAGAAATATGAAGTTACTGGAGCAGGACTTGCACCTAAGAAGCTTCAAATAGATCGTTAAACGTAAAAAGAGCTTCCGAAAACATGTAAACATGTACCAAAACCATGGAATACAACCATTAAGATAAACTGGGCTCATCTATCATGGGTTTCGTTTTCATTAAAATCACTTTATCTCCAAAATCAAAATAACTAGAGCAGATAAAACTAGAGGGCAGATTTGCTACCCTATATTGTTCCCTGACAGCATCCCACCATAGGGTTGAGAACTTCAATTTATATTAGTTGTTTTTAAATCTTAAAAATTGTTTTAAAATTTTTTTTGAAAAGTACTGAAAAAATCATGAGCAAGGCCATATCTGGGTAAAGCAATGAGCAGTGAAAAATAGAGGCCACATTTTTACCCTGACAGAGCTCCCTGATTATCACCTGGCAGAACCCCACCATTAGGGTTGAGAACTTCAAGATCGGCTAGTTTTTTTTTAATTCAAGTACTTTTAGAAAATAAAAATAAGAAAACCTTAAAAATTGCTACATCTCAGGAAACAAAACAATTTGAGCAGTCATGCTTAGCGGCCAGATTTGCAACTCCGAAGTGTACTTGACAAGTATCCGCCTTAGGGTACCGTGTACCCTGACAGCATTTCACTATAGGGTGGAGAATTTCAAGTTCGGTTAGTTGTTTTTATATCTATGTTTTCGAACAAAAATGCATGTCTAGAAAACCAAAAGAATTTGAGCAGTCAAATTTGAACCCCAGATTTGCAATTTTTGAGTGTACTATGACAGAATCCCACTATAGGGTTGAGAATTTAACGTTCAGTTACTTTTTAAACTTATGTTTTAAAAAAAAACCATTGAAAAATTCATAAAAAACGTCAAATCTCGAAGACCAAAAGAATGTGAGCAGCCATACTTGGGCGCCATATTTGAAACCTCTGAGTGTACCCTGACAGCACCCTACTATAGGGTTGAGAACTTCAAGTTACTTTTTATCCAAAGCTTCTGAAAAAAATGAAATCGTAAGAAACACATTATCTCGAAAAGCAAAGAGATTTGAGCAGTCATACTTGGACGCCAGATTTGCAAATCCTGCGTTTACCCTGACAGCACCCCACTATAGGGTTGACAATTCCAAGATAAATTTAGTCATTTGTGAAACAAAATTTTGAAAGTTTTACATTGCGAATATCGGAAAGTTGTAGAGTTATAGCATTGGCTTAACAATGTGCCAAGTGAAATTTCCAAAGCATACACAAAAAACGATGTAGCTTAAACGTGCAAAAAAACTTTCCTTAAAACATGCAAAAAACGATATGTTGAAATATTTCCGCATTTGGATTTCTTGAACATATATCAAGTGAAACCCCAATTGAATATTATTTAGATCAAGATTAAGAACCGAGACCAAATTTACTGTCGTCCATCTGAGCGGCAAAATCTGAATGAAAAATATTGATTTCTTAGCCTATTGAACTAATAAGGCTACGGGTGTTGGTAGCAGCTCTGAAATTGATGAGCTAGCTCAACAAATTGATATTAAACAGTTCAAATTTAGAGAATCCTTTACAAAAATGGTATCGGAGTGCTTTACAAACAATTCAAAGTTCATGCGCTTTATGTCAAGGACATTACAATTAACATTGACCATTCTGTGAACAAATTTAGTTACGAGAAAAAGCTAACCGCAAACGTAATTAAGCAAAAAGGAATCAAAAGTTAAACCACGAAAAATCATTGACACTAAATCAAAATTGCAAGCAAAAAACACAAAACGGGAAAAAAATCTGTAAATCTCAGGAGTTTGTTTACAACCAACATGAAAACAAGTCGCGCACTTGTTCATCAAGTCGCGGCCTTGAGCGGCAAGGCAATAAGGAATAAGATTGATGTGTTAGAAGATTAAAGTATTGAGGCTGCTGGTATTGGTAGCAGCTCTGAAACTGATTAGCAAGCTCAACAAATTGATATCACACAGTTGAAATTAAGAAAATTATGTACAAATATTATATCCCGAGCGCTTTACAAACATGTCAGAGTTCATGCTGCTGATGCCAAGGGCATTAATTTACCATTTAACTACCATGTGACTATTCTGCGATTAAAGTAATTTGCGAGAAAAAAAGTCGTACCCGATTGCACTAGCCTTGTTTATCGAAAGATTAATTAAGCAAAAAGGAATCAAAAGTCAAACCAGGAAAGATCATTGACCTTTATCAATATTTGAAGCAAAAAAAATACAAAAAGGGGAAGAAAAGTTTTCAGAACACAAGAGTTCGTTTGCAACAAACATGAAAACAAGAACGTGAAATTAAAAAGCAGACATGCTCAAAAATCTTCAAAACTCTTCTAAGATGCGGCAATGGGTTCGTAATAGCTTCGCAAGAAGCTCCAACCCTGGCCATTTCGCGCACTTGAGCGGCAAGGTCATAGTGAATAATATTGATGTGTTAGAAGATTAAAGTATCGAGGCAGCTGGTATTGGTAGCAGCTCTGAAACTGATGAGCAAGCACAACAAATTGATACCAAACAGTTCAAATTAAGAAAATCATTGACAAATATTATATTCCGAGCGCTTTACAAACAAGTCGAAGTTCTTGCTGTTGATGCCAAGTTCATTAATTTACCATTTAACTATTCTGCGAACAAAATATTTACGAGAAAAAAAGTCGTACCCGATTGCAATAGCCTTGTTTATTGTAAGGGTAATTAAGCAAAAAATAATCAAAACTCAAACCACGAAAGGTCATTGACACTTAATCAATGTTTCAAGCAAAAAAATACAAAAGGGAAAGAAAAATTTTAAAACTCAGAGTTTGTTTACAATCAACAAGAAAACAAGAACGGGAATTTAAAATGCACACATGCTCAAAATATATGTTGATCAGATATCCCAATAAACATTCCAACTGTAGGCCCAATTGATTGATGTGATTTTTTAAACATTTGTAATCTGAAAAACCTATGTTCAAGTCTCATACTGCTTGCTGATCGCAGTGTAAATAAGGATAGCCGGTTACTGTGCTAATAGCAGAGAACGTTCCGACCATAGTTTTAACAATACAAAAAAAAATTCAAACAGGGCTCGTTTTTTGCGTTTGGCGCAAAAAAAGATCTGAACGAAAAAATAAAATTAGGCATATTCGACAGCCATAGTCGAATAAGCCAATTGGAAAACATATTTGAGTGAAAAAGACTAAAAAAAAGTCGTTAATTTTTTTTTACGAAAGTTCACAAATTTTTGCTATTTTTTTTCCTGAATTTTTGAACATTTTGATTATCAAAATGGCGCTAAATACAAAAACAAGCGAAGGGTTTTGAATTAACCATCGGTATAAAGTATAGAGAAATACTGAAAGTGTACAATCTATGCTGGAATGATATTCGATGAGGAATGTTTATTGATTGTGGCACAAAATGTTTATGTCGGTGTCTCGGGTACTACAGGACGTGTATTGATGTTTCTTCCGGTGTCCTCTCAAGGCTATCACGCTAAATAAGACCAAAAAACTAACTTTGCTAAAAAAAACGGCTCGAAAAAAATAATTGAGCCATTGAAAGCCTCCACGCTGACCTTATTAGCTGGAAATTAGACAAAAAATCAATGTTTCAAACCGGTTTTTCTCACTGAGAATTTTTTGATGCCGCTTGAATCACGACTGAAAGGGCTTTCATATGATATATACCTCGGCCCATTCCGATGATTACTGGTGGTTCCTGATTTGGCGCGGAACACAAGAAACTAAAACACCCGAAAACAAAGTTCCTCTGCATTTTTCAAATGGTCTGAACACTAACTTATAAAGCAATGGCAACAAATTAGTCATGCTTTAATTTTTCCTGGCAAGCATTATTCCAGTCTGTTCTAACTAAGCCACCAGACTCGCTTTCGAAATCTAAAATATGCATAGAAATATTTAAATTTGGGCTTAAGTATGCACACTCGCGCTTTTATTTACACACTTTTTATCACTTTGATACAACGGAGTTCACGGTGCTTTTCGAAAACTGTTGCTGCATGTTTGCTACTTCTTGAAGCTGTGATACTTTAGTTTGAATCATCATTTGACAGACATTTTGCATATCAATCTTCTGGTTCAAG